ACTTTTTGAGTTCTAATAATAATAATGAAGTTAGGGAATTACAATCAGTCAATTAGACGTGGTTTGGTTTGCTCAACCATAACATTTACAAGACTTTTGTTTCAAAACAACAGCGTTTGTGGGCGGGAAAGCTGGTGAGGTTTCCCGCAATTGTCAATGCACTTTCGACTCCTACTAGTTGGATGTGCTACCTGCACAGTGGCTGCTCAAAACTGGAGAGGATAATGGCTTGCGTGTTGCAGACTCTTTGCGGTCAGCCTCCCCAGCCAGCAGCTTGGGATTTCCTGGGATAAAACAGCAACAAGAATCCACAAAAATTCCCTATTTCTGTACATGAAAACAAAAACATGGGAATGTTCTTTTATAAATATAGTTAACTGGACTACAGCTTTGGGACGTTGGGTTGAGTGGCAGTTACAGTGTTGTAGACCCTGATGATTACAAGCTGTATGAATGGCTGTTCCCAAGGTTTTTGTGGCTTTGTGCAATGGGAACAGTGACCCCACTGTAATCCATGGCTGTTTACATTCCAGCAGATCAGTTCCTACTAGAACCATGGGGAAGGAAGGGCAGGGGTTAAAGAAGACTCTTACACACCATATCTCTGCAAAACCAACATACGCCTTACCCTGGACCCACACTTAGTAAACAACGCACAATAATCCAATATGGAGGATTTACACAGTCACAAGCTTTGACTGACTTCTCATTTGTTATTTACCCTCTAAATCAGCTGCTTCTTTCGCTCTTGAACTGATCTTTCCTTAATGAACTGTAACACAAGTGTGTGTACTCCAAGCAGTCTATACTTCCCTCTCCACTCCGTTTCCCATGGCTTGCTGCGAGTACAAGACTTGGAGCTCCCCTATAAGTATCCCTAATTTGATGGGGTGGGGTGGTCAGCCTCCACTTATTCCCTGCATAGAGAGCCTGAAGGCAACAACACAGCAAAGAGGCCCTGCCCACTCATCCATTCCCTAGAAAGCTCCCCTCATTTTCAAACCAACTCAAGAGGAAAGCTACTCAAAATCAGTTACAAATAGTCCTGAATTTCATTTTTTCACTGAGAAGGCAGAGAGTTTATGCATGTTTCAGCATGAAAACTGTCTTACAAGCCTGACATGCCAACATTGCTCATTGGGTTGTATATGCTCATGTCTGGAAGATTCAGGGGAGAGGCAGCAGAATGGTGTGCCTCAAGTTAAAAGAATGCACAAATGTGTTGGAAATGAAGGAAAGTTTCTCAAAACTCGCAGTTCGTGGACAGTGCTACTGGGTCCACTACTTCAATTCCAGTAAACACAGGAAATTAATTGAGCTAAGATTAAATGAAAATGACTTGACAGCTAAGACGTCATGAGAACATCATGTTCTCCTTTTTACAAGGAATATGGCTGTGGTGCAGGCAGTCAACTGCACTCAATGCAGTCTAAAGGCAAAGTGCAATTCAAGGTTCTCTGAATGGGTCTTTTGTGCAGTGCAACTCAATAGGTAGCCTCACTTTATTTGCAGGTATACTCTGCTTCTACTATCTGGACTAAAATGCATTAATCGACAAGAATGTGAACAACAAAATGCACTTTCTTTCCTATGGCCTCATAATAATGAGGAAATATGGAACACAATGCACTGACAACAATAATAGAGTTTCATTGCAAAATAAACAGATCTTGAGACATTGCAAAGAAAAATATTTCAGCCGAGATCATATGATGTGGTGTGTGCGTCTGGTGTGTGTGTGTGTGTGTGTGTGTCAGTATGAAAAGGCTACAATTAGGTCAACACAAGGTCAATGGGAGCTAGGTGTTGTGTGGTGTATTTCTGACCACATAGCAAAGCAGTTATTAGAGTGTGGGTGTTGGATCGTTTTAACTTGCACTCATGTCATTAAAGTGTAGCTGGATAGTTCTTTACACCAACATAGCTGCCCTCACCACGACGTGATAATGGATTTTTTGTGTGTATGTGTGTTTCTTACATCACTTAAAACAGCTTATTCTCACCGTCGTGTTAAGGTGGCCTCTGTTCAGGTTGTACATCTGTCTTTTCCTTACCTATAAATTAGTACATGAGTCCAATTTCTCTCAACAGTGCTTAGTCTGATGGTTTCTCAAACCCTGCAACACCTGTTCATGACACGGCCTCTGCAGTCAAGCACCGTCATTCCCAGGTGCCGTCTGATCCAGCCTTGCACATTGGTTTCGATGATGTGTCTGATGATTTTTTTTTCCTACAGCAACTGTAGAAAGGCTTGCTCACCATAAGACTGAGCCTGGAGAAAACCTCAGCCCACACACTCGTGCTCTCATTCCAGAGCGTTCTGTCCTGTATCCCTACAGTCAGGATAGAGACAGCCAGAGCCCTCCACAAAACAGAGAATAACCCAGACCATGTCACACATGCCATGGTCAATGGTTGCTGGACAAAAGGGACAAAACCTGTTGCCTTGACAACGTTCCCTTTAAATAACTGCGTTGGGTTTTCTCTAGGAGAATCTAGCTTGTACATTCAGCAGATACTAGACCCTGTTTGACAGCAGACTTTGGGAGTAGAGTTATGTCATTTATTATTCAAAGTTAGTGAATTATCTTGGTCACAACAACCTTTAACTCCCTTCTTTGGAAGCCTACTGTATGCCAAGAATGAGCTATGAAAGCTGTACTAAAACATTAGCCTTGCATGGCTGCACATGTTCATTGCAGGCCAACATTTACAGCTATTCACCGTCTACATGCTTCCTCTCAGAAGACATTTTCTCACAATCTTGCTCTTACTGAAGCTACGTTTTCTACACCACTTGTCTCTTGCACATAACGGCTCTTCAAAGTCATAGCTGCTTTAGCATGAAATGATGGCAGTAGTGCATCGTGTTGGGTGTTCCACTTAGGTGGGCAACCCTAAATCGATGGCTGTAGGAACTATGATCTCTCCCAGGCCTCTGCTAACCCATTCCTTTCCCCCAGAGCCGTGCCACATCCTGCAAGTTGGGACCGCAGTGCATCTGGGTTTGGTTACAGCCAAGACACAAGAGTCATAAAACTGGGCTGGGAGGAAAACAGAGGGGCACCTCCTCATCTACAACCCCAACTAGTGCTCTCAGATGGAGGCTCTGATGTGGTCTGGAGCGATGTTATACTGGTGAAAGCTGGCAGTGTTTAGATTTGACCTAATGTCATTCATAATACACCATTTAAACCAATCTTAAAGTTGGTCTCTGTTATTGTATCGTATGTTGATTTTAACAATCTGAAGCATTAAATGGCATTTAACAAGTTAACTGTATGCATACTACATAGCTGGGTATCACATTTCTAATAGCCATCATCCAGAATGGACACTTGCACATCAATGCTGCAAAAAAGTGTTTCAAATGTTCGTATAAAATAAAATAAAAACAGTCACACACTCAAAGTGCTGCACCAAAGTATTTTACGTCATTAGGTTTAAAGTCCTTCAATAAAGGTATAGAGTTTATAAAAAACCATAAATGCCACTCACAGTTACTAACCATACCAATTCAATTCAGTTCACCTCTTTGTCCGTGGAAAACGAGTGCCGGATACGTATGCCCATTAGCCAACTTTGTGCATGCTGTATTCAACACTAAACAATTATTCTAATGCGTTTGGTTTGACAAGAGAGCTTCTATATTTAGTGTCACTTGATATTTCCAGCTCTAGACCCTTGCAACCCCCGTCTCCTTTTGATCCTGCATTCAGAGCGGGGATGAAAAGATGAAGAGTGACATGGAAGGAGCGAGATGAATGGAAGGAGGACATCCGCCACTTTCCTTTGTCCCCCTCAGTAAACAACCCATCATCCATGCTTCTTCTGCTGTCATTATTCCCCAGTGCATTCAGTTTGAAGCTGAAATTCAGGCCAGAACAGTATTTTAGCTTGTTACGTTCAATAATATCTTCAGATAAGAAAACACACCATTGGATGCACTGTGCAAATACTAACCTTGCCATTCAGATTACTTTAGGAGGGTGTAATGACCCTGAAGGTTGTGTAATGAATACAATCTACACGGCAGCCTATCTCCTGCTGCTTCTATAACATAAACCCTCTCAGCATCTCTCTCCTCTGCCAGAGAATGCCACATACAGTATGAAAGAGCCAAAAGCAACAAAGCAAGTGCTGCATCCACTACTCCTGCTTTCAGCTCATTATAAAGCACCATCCACATATAGAACAAAAAATGGAGAGGGTCAATCAATATCCAGCGTGCCTATATGCTGCAGTACATATAGAACCGACAAACTATATAGCCTAGTGTTTAAACCTACAAGAACAGTCAGTCATTTTACATATATAACTATTGATATCAGACTGCATTAATGTTCACTAAAGACATCCGTGTTCCTGACATCAAGTGGATTTTCCAGTTTTTCTGAACAGGAAGTAAGCACGGGGCTCTTACACAATAACAAAAACAAACACAAAAAGCTCAGCACATGACTTTTATTATCAACACCATATGGTGTCACTTCATTCCTTTTGACACCGCTGTGCTAGTTGGCTTAAAGTTTAACACATTCACAAAATTCTCTTTTGTATGAGAGAAAGCGTTGGTGTTAACGGTGTGGCCATCGCCTGGTGAGACCATCACATGCTCCAGGTATTCCTCAGAAAAACACCAAATGCTTAGTGACAAAATAACTACACTTTAACCATAACTATCAAACAATTCCAGTGTTTAAAGTATATCATGAAAAACGCTTTCACTTGGAGCAAAATCTGTTCATGAACAGACATTATGACATTGGGAATAATTATAAGTTTAATTGGTAAAAACTGTAGTTGTGCCAATGTGCCATTTAAGGCTGTGTAGATGCACGGGAATTGATGATGATTTGACCATTCAAACCATCATAGCCATCATTTACTAGACCAAGCCAACAGCTAGTATGTAAAAGCAGGCCATTATTCAAATTTCATTTTAAAATAAAAATTGTTTCAAAGCAAACCAAACTCAGGAGCTGTCAGGGTTCACTTACCATTTCGTCCAGAGCGTAGCGCAGTAAGCCATGCTCGTAAAGGATGAAGAACCTCCTCTGCCATTTCTGCATTACACAAAAAAATAAATGCTAGAATTACTCACATGATCACATCACAGATATCATAACAGCAAGCCACATCCAATTACATAAATAACAAAGCACTTAAGAAATGTGCAAACATTTAGCACTGTGTTTTAAAGCCGTTACTTATTATACATCAGATAATTCTAGCCAGGAAAGTTTGACAAAGTGTTACAAGAATGGACAGATATTTATAAAGCCAGGTGTTATTAATTGGATTAGTAAATTAATCTGTAAATGTTCCAATGAAGTTCTTGCAAATGACAATGCTAATGTTATATACTGTACTCCTCAGGGTATAAAGACTTGGCCGCTATACTGGTGCACACACAAACAGTAAATACATAAGTGCGGGTGAGCCTTTGAGAAACAGTTGCTATGCAGTGGCATCCAAGTTCTTGGCACACATTCAGCATTTACCACATCACATGCTTTTCAGGCTTTCTGGAACTCAAGATGAATCTTTCTTTAAAAATGTATGAGGAAATAAAAGACAATAGACAGAATACAGCAAGTAAAAGCCCCGTTTAGTTTTACTGTCTCAGCGGATTGAATCTGTCTTACAGGATGGTGTTAATGCAAACAACATTGAACTATTATCCGACTAGTATCAGTATCAGTGTTTGCCTAAAACACATTTAATGGAACCAATCTTACTGAGGTGAAGCCTGTTATATTGTGTAAACCACATACTCAAATTGACCAAATAAGGAGTCATTTTATTTCTTGGATACAATTCTGCTGATATTCGTGCCAATGATAAGATGTTATTGATCTCCTCTCCTTCTTTGGCTTGATGATCTCTCCACTGCTCCCCACTTATCCTAACTCACCGCTTTGTCTCAGTATTAAATATCCCTGGATCCGATTCCAACTGAGGCTAATCCATGAAATATTAAGAAGTGTTTTGTAACCTAAAAGGCATCTGAAGGTCTCAATAGGGCGGCTGATAGGCGCCACAAGGGATGTTAAAAGGGTCACTGCAGCCATTTCCAGTGATATATATGTGTCACACTGTGTTTTTCATAGACATTTACAACCACAGGCCCACAAACTGTGCTCCTAAAACATGACTCAGCCAACACGTCAGCTCTTTTTCCTCTGTTATTTGTTTGTTGGTCAGTCAAAACATGGTCCAGCCTGCTCACCTCAGCACAACAGGTCACCAATTATACACAGCGGGGAAAAGCTGATTGTAAGAATAGGCAGAACACATCAGTGGTATGTCAAAGCAGCGGCAGCCTGTTGACAGTAGTTGAGTGGAAGGGTCCAGAGGTGCTTTTCCCAAAACCCCATATGGAAGCCATCAGTGTGGCTGTGAGAACTGGGACCTCTCCTTCCTTCTCCTCCCCCACATTCCCACTACTCCTCTTTGGGATGCACCACCACAGTATAATCTGGGAGCTGATAAAGGAAGCAGTGCAACAGAGCACGTCTCCCATTACATGATGTTTGGGGGGGCCAAGGATTCATGAAATAAAGTCAATATAAGGCTCATTATTGCTGGATAGTGTGGATTCTTCTGATAGGGGGGGACGAGCCTCCCACAGGAAGCTGCTGAGACAGCTACAGGAGCCACAATAACCAGACCTCCCGTTTGTTGGATGTCAAAATAGTAGCAAAACGGATAACAGAATTAAAAGAAGGGCTGGAGAGCAGACTGCCTTTTTCCCCTTGTGTGGCCTTTTGAGAAGCCTTAATATTCTGAATATCAGGCATTTTGTACTAAAAGATGTACAACACAAAATCCTAAGTACTGAACTGAGCAAAAGCTATAGACATTGGGTCAAATAAGGTTGTTTTTCTTTTGAAGAATACTCTTTTGTTTTCCTGAAGCACCAAATGTTTATTATGATTAGGTCAAAAAGAGCTGATGAAACATTTTTTCCCTTCTAACCATAATCAATTTCAAGTCCAGCAAAGGCACCACTTACCCGAGATCTGTGTAACGGATTGTCAAAATTCGTTCCCTCTGGAGCCAGCAGCAACCATCCTCCATATATAGGTTTTGCCTGATGACAGAAAAACTTTAAAACAACACCAAAACAGCCACTTTAACATATTGATTATCTGTTTAATTGTGCACATTTGAACAGTTTGTAGCTGAAACTGGAGGATAATAGTTGAGGCTTTATATTGTGCCCAGTATCAGACAGGATTACACACACACAGAGATTTTAGTTCAACGAAGGTGTGTATTAGTCACTAGCTCTCTTAAGCAGGCTACATTCTCCAGCTGGCTTTATTCCAGAGCGCCATGCTTCCCTGGGAAGGAAAAAAAAGAAAGGAAAGGCTAACACATGATTTTCCCTCTGATCCTCTAAGTGGGTGGACTGGTGGGTGGAGGGGGCAGCGAAGAGGCAGAAGTTAGCAAGGAAAACAGTGGAGGAGAAACAGGAGAGAGAAGCAGAGCCTGAGAGCTTTTGTGGCTCCAGATTTGCAATTCAAACTGAGAAATGCAAGTTGGCCAGGTAGTCTTTCTTAAATTGTTCTGGTGCGTTCTTGAACACTCGCCATTGTAGTAGTCAGCATTTGTTTGTCTGCAACACCACTGCAGGGGTTTTGTTTACAGGGGCAATCCACTAAATATGTGTATGCACAAATCTCACCTACACCTAAAGAGCTTAACAAATTAAGTACCTTACGTAATCCAACTGCACACCCAAGTCTGTGGAACAACAGTCTATAAAATCAATTTGGAAAAGCTCTGACATTTACAGCCGCCTGGCACCTCTCTGTCGTTCTATCAGTGGTTTTGATTACAGTCATAACTCCATGCATGTAAAGCCAAGTATAATCCACCATTAAATCCCATTTCGCTTTGATTGTAGGAGGCACAGCACATTTCTCAGCTCAATGACTTTGTAAACAAAATGACATAATAGGAAATTTCAATCAGGAGTCTCAACCTGTAACCTTGGTGAGTCAAGAGTGTGTGCAGACTTGAAAGAGAAACAACATCTAACTTTTGGAAGACAACCAGAGGTGACGCACAATACAGGGATAACGATTCAATGTGTTACTGTAGGCAAGGGAATGTATTGCATTTTTTAACTCTAATTTTAGAAAAAGTGTCCTTATATATAGAACACACAACCATTTACGCCTCTTCGTTTCTCAGTGTGGAAGAGTCAAATGGATGGACTTCCTCTATCACTGGCATTTAGCAGATGGGGGTTTGAACACACCACAAAATAGGCCACTGTCTTCTCACTTCTTTGCATTTGGACCAATTATTAGAAATCTGGGATTGATATAGTATACATCACAAAACTCAATATTTCTTTGCACCCCTAAGAATCGCAGCTCATCGAATAGACTTAGATATGGGACAAGGAGAAAGAACAGTAAGTGTTCAAAGGGATTCACACAAATACTGGGACACTAGCTTCTTCAAAGTAGAAACTCTGAGACCAAGTGTCCCATCTCCCCTCACATGACCTGACAGCAACCCCAATGGAAAGTCCTCTCAAGAGAGAAAAGACAAGATGAATTTAGGTCATTTTTAACCCTTCAATGCTTCAGTGGGTTAAACGGAGCCATTTGAGTGTGTTCATTTGGAAATGACCCTTCAACGTCTTATTACCCCACATCATAAATGACTGTAAAACTGCACCAAAAGCAATGTGCATTGAGTGGTGTATTGGTGGGGAGAGGCAAAACTAATGCTGGAAATATGCAAAGGAAAAATGCACACGCCTTCAGTATCTTATCGACACTGAACACAAACGATGAATAACTTGGCTAAAACATCCTGGGTTTTCAGTGTCTGACCGCTGATGATAACCTTTCACTGGGTGCGGTCACCAAAGGATAAAGTTGATAGACAGTGGGTCAGAAATAACCCCCGAGAGTAATTCCATCCCAACAGAGGAACCATTAGTCACGAGGGAGGAAATTACGGGAAATGTAGTACAATGTCGGCTTGATGTTAGTCATCAACCAGCCAATTGAAGAAGCATCAGGGGTGTCATCACACAAACTGCCTGGATAATGGGGACTCTTGATCTGTCCCGTTAACAGCTTACCAAGAGGCAATAACCACAATAAAAGCCAACAGAGTTCAACTGCCCTGATGCCAACTTTCACAACCTGCCAATGTCAACAACGCATGCCAGTATATGAAGCATTACTGGAACAGCTTCATGTTGGATTAATAGTGCAAAGATTATATCAGCCTCATACTGGAGTCTCCAATTATATTTGAACTAGCATTGGACATTGGAAATTAGGATAATACACATAGGATTGGACATTATACGAACTTTAAAGAGGGAAATATAAAAACAACAACTGAGATATGATTGTAACTGAAACTAGTCAACAGAAGCAGCTGATAGAAGCTACTGTGTGGAAAGCATGGAGCTGGGTGGAGCCATATCGGCATGAATTGAGGTCAATATGCGCCCTTGGGCTGGAAACTAATTATGTCCAATTAACCTAACCTTTGCACTTCATGGTCACATGACAAACCATTTGAAATGTGCCCATCAAACGGAGTGATCCAAACAGGGTTTCACTGCATCACTAATATAGCTTACACAGACAGTAATTACAAGTATGACATGTTATTTGTTCACCTGATTTAAGTCTTCGTCGTTCAGCAAATGTGATTCTCTGGGCTTGAAGCAGTTCTGGCATTTGCTTTTGTTGAAAATGTTGGCTTGAAATTTCCGACAAGCATTGTCTTTGAGTGACATGGTTGACTCTTGGTGAGTAAAAAACACAACTTAAAAAAAAACCTGCTGAATTCTCGCAGTCAAATGAGTTGGTGTGACTTTTAAAAAGTGTGTAGTCCGTTTTAAAGAGTAACGTTGTTCACCTGTCCTGTGTTACCTGAGGCGGTGAGTAACCTCTCGCTAAGTGATATCTATGATAGTCATCTTGTGCAGGGGGGGTTCGCCTCCCGCAGCTAACTTTTGTTGTTGTGCTCACTAAGAACTTGTCTAGTAAGTCCTCGAAAGCGCAGACAGGTGTGCACGGTCTTGTCCTTAATTGCGTCCTGCAACGAGGTGTTTCTCAGGTGACCCTCCGGGCCTCGAACTCGCTGCAAAGGTCCCGTCAGCCTCCATCGGGCGGAAGGCATCTACCGAGGGAGGGATAGTCCACTTTGGCCCCTCTCTATCTTACAAGTGATACCGCATTCATTGCTGTTGAATCCTTTTAACGCCTCTAGACACCAACTTTAAAAAACGCCATGGAGTCGGCTGTCATGCTGTTGGGTCCATAGCGTCGGTTCTCCGTTCGTCGTAGCACCGTTTCCCCCCGGCTCTGGTACGCAGTCTGCAGTGGATGTTTTCGATGAAAATCCTCGCCTGGGCCAGTCGGTGGAGAGACGGGGAGGTGCTCAGGAGAGAGTGGAGTGGTGAGTGCCAGCAACGTCGACCAATCACAAACGCCCACAACCGGGCGTGTGCGTTAACTGACCAATAGAAAGCCTCGTAATCCTCCAATGCTTTCGCTCAAACTAGGTGGGCTTTAAAGAGCCCATGATAACAAAAACAACAACTTCAGTGTGAAACCGTGATGTTATCAAGGTTAGCCTGAGATAATATTGTTCAGTCCCCACTGAAAAGACATACATTTATTCAGGTTGCCTTTTTCAGGAGTAATAATGTTTTGTTTGCTGGTATTTTGCATGTTTTTTGCAACAGAACTAAAAAAGCAGAACAATTATTTGACAAAAAATGTATCTTTCTTTCACTTCCATACTGTACATTGGATACTGTTGCCTCAGATGAAAAGTATGCATTATGGATTGAGACTTTACTATTGACTTTTTTTTTAAATAAACATGATAACACTGTATGACTATGTTTATTTGATCTTTCTTGCGATGTGTGCATGCAAAAGTCTAAAGCCATAAAATACACATAGGCTAGTTGTCCTAGCCTACCAGCCTTTACATAAAATATTGTCTAAACTCTTAATATTTTTCCCTTTGAAATTGCACTTTAAAACCATTCGATTAGGACAGATGAGTAAATGACTGATAAAAAGCAGGAATGTAGTTCACTTTATGATGATTTAATCTGCTTTCATTATCCCATGTGTCCTGTTACTCATGGTTCTAGTAAGCTACTATGGAAGGGACTATGATTGAAGCCATTTTTACACTATAAACACTACATTTTGGTAGATGCAAGTAAAGAAAATAATTTCGCAAATATAATGCTTTAAAAAAAAAGCTTGACAAATGTTCATTATTAACATGCAAAGCAATGATGAAGTGGTGTTTTGATTTCAGGCTCCATGGCACCATCTGTTGGTTTAAGACTGAATAACATTAAGAGAAATAGAAAAAACAAATAGCTTTTATGAATACAAATGTAAAGTGCTCCGTAATTTTGTGATGTGATTTACATGGTATCATAATTTACCGTGCTTGATATCTTATTACGGATTTTGACTGTCTCTTCTTTTTTTTTTAAATTGGTGATCCAGACTGTTAGATTCTCCTGGGAGATGCTAAACAAAAAAAAAACTGAAATCATGTGCAAAAATATGGCCTCACCAACCTCATTCTGTCAATAAAGAAACATTCATTTGCTCAACTTAAGTAAGAAGGGCAAGACTTTATTTAGGGCGCTTGAGGTGGTGTGATGGGAGGTAACACATACAGTAAAAAGTCAGGGGAAAACATTAAAAAAAAAGTTTCAAATGACCCTAATCGTTCAAAGTCCGATTAGGCACATTTCAGTGAGCCTTTACTCACGCAAAACGGTTTATTTTAAGCTATAGCTAAGCAATTGTGTATTCAGGAGACAACCAAGTGTGAGTAAATAAATAAAAAGAACTAAAACAGTATATTTCTTCAGTATACATCAGGTATCATGACATGTTTTTCAGATAGGGTACAATAATGATCTACAAAGGCTTTTAATGAGGACAAGTTCACTTTAGCTAGCTTCACAGCCTGTAAATACCCTAGCCACTTTTTTTCTAAATGTATTGCTTGGTCTATACAAATTCAGAAAAAAGTGAAAATGCCAAACCCATACTTTAAAAATGTTGTCACTGATCATAAACCAGCGTAATGCACAATCAACACTAAATGAAATATGAGCAATTTGCTATCGAGTTGAACTCAACAACTGTACATTGTTTAAAGTTAAGTCAATGAAAATCTCAGAGGTTAAGATTAGGTTAGGTTGTCTGCATGGAAAAAAGTGTTGCTTTGAAACAATTACCTGTCTCTTCTTCCCATGTTTGCCACAAAAAAGCCACAATTCCTGTTGCATTTATGATAATTGGAGATTGTAAACAGCTGTATCGTTGAATATAAACATATTCCCTAATGAGCTGGGGCTGACTTTGAAAATATAAAATAATAATGGCTATTTATTAGCGAAGGCCTTATAGTAAGTTGAGTTCTCACGTTCATTTTTGATTTGAGTTATTATACATATGAACAATATTCAAAACAATAACCCACATAAAGTAACTGTGCCTAGTTTTTAGAAATACACTGAAGGGGTCTTCAGAACACAATATATACTGCATATTAACAATGAGTCAAAGCATGCATCAGGCAGCATTCAGAAGAGATTTGCCCGCTTCTTCATGTTGTTTCGCTTCCACAGTGGAAGCACGTTAAATTCTTGAAAGCCCATGCCAAAGACCTCAAAGAATGACTCCGGGGATAGGTGACGCTGCAAAGGAAAGCAGTAAAGAATAACATGGACTGTTGAAACGCTGCACAGATCATCTGTTTGGTGCATTTCTTATTCTAAAATAAAACTCTACTGTACGTTTAACTGAAACAACTAATGTCTTCAACTGGTTTTTCAGAAAAATATTTCAGCAGATGATGTGACTGTAGAGGAATGTATTAACATCTATGAAGGTGTAAGGCATGGTGTGTGTAGTATTGACACAAGGCCAGGCATTTATTAGAAGGTAAAATTAAGAATATTAAAGAGATATTTTGCCCTTTCGGCAAATGTGAAGGTCTTTTAATACAGATAACAAATAATGCTAAGCAGCATGTTTATCCACTTTAATAATAATAATAATGCTTCTCAAGTTACTTTACCTCGAGTTTTGTTCTGTCAACATCCTTGGGAAGCTTCACTCGGCCTCGACTACCAACTGAGAGCAGCTCATACGGGTAGACCTTGACAAAACAAAGGCTGGTTGAGAATCCTTTCATAGTCGATTCTTGCAGAAGCTACACCTAAACACAATCGTTTGTGTGGTTTCCCTACCAGCCATTGAGATACCAGATGGAGTTAGAACATCACGTCCCATGCAAATATGCATCCTGTATAACCACCGCACTGTTGTCATGCATAATAGTTAAATAGTACGGTGGCCCCTGAGTGTTAAAACACCATCCCAGAAATAAAACATATTGACAAAAATGAGATCATTTACTGAAATATTGTTGTGTTTTAGGCAATGTGTTTGTGTTTGGACCCTCATGGCCACCATTAACTAAAATTATTAAAAACAATTCCTAAAATGTTTTTTCTGAGATAGTGTTGTGTTTTCTATTATAATGTGTATTGTATATGTTGTTGTGTTCTGACCCTCAAGGCCACCGTCATATAGTATCTATAGTAACTATGCCTCAGTCTTTAGGGTGATGCTATTATAGTGAAAGGATAATAATAATGACGTTGTCCTTGAAACATGTATTCTGTTATCTGTATGTATTATTTTTACTGAAGGTGCAGAACATGATACATCGTTGCAGGGAAAACTCTTGTATAGCACACAAGAATATACAAACAATACTTGCTTTCAGTTCCAACAAATTAGGCATGGACACTCCTCTGTCCATTCGTGCTAATGGATGTTGACCGTCATGGATGAGCTACAGAATGAAGCAAACACGTGCAATGGGAAAATGTCATGATAGGATTAATCACTTCAATTATAAAACCCAAACGGCCAAATTACTGCTAGTAAGATATATTTGTAAAATGTGAGGTAAGAGTTAGTTATGTAATACGTGCAATATACATATTAATGAAGAGTTCTGCAAGATGTAGCCACTGCTATAGAATTACAGATTTGAATTCAATTGAGTTACTTGATAAAACATGCTCATGCAGACTGTGGTGAGGCCAGTACTTTAGACATGCAGAAAACAAAAAAGGAAAGCAAAGAAAGCAAAAGCAGGGATTTAAAGTATTTTCACGTACCTTAAAGTCTGGAAGGCGGGGGGGGGGGGGGGGGGGGGGGGGGGGGGGGGGGAAGAGACAAAGCCACACGAATTCATATTCCAAAATAATTATAGTGATTACTAAAGTCCATGATAAAATAAAGATGTCTAAATACTTACCTTTAAATCTGTCACTGCTGTAATGTGAGTAATCAGCTGACCGTGGCTTGTATTAGAAGAACCGACAGGGGGCAGACAGAGGAAACAACAATCATTCATTCATTTTAGTGAACTGCTATAAATTGGACATAAATTGTTTCTAGAGCTACCAATTCCCACCTACAGAATCAAAGGTCACCCAGTAGCCTTACGCAATAGTTTCAAACAGACGGATTACGTATCAGTGATGTTGCTCTTACCGGATTGAGGCCATTGCGACCATATCCAGGCAAGAGGCTGTTTGCGATTGTGGAGGAATTTGGCTCTATGTGAAAGTGAAACAGACAGATTAGCTCCTCATGAGACGATTTTTAGAACCAGACTCGGCTCTTTGTTGCAAATAAGATCCGATTTTACTCATTCAGATATACTTGCCCTGGTTCTGTTTTTAGCCTTTTGCTAATTGATCTGTAAAACACACTTCTCAGTACTGCTCTATTTTTAGATTTACAACTCAATTATATAATAAGGTATTGTCCAGGCGATTAAAATACCTCTATGTTGTGAAATGAAACACCACGAAGATTATAATCAGAGGCTTTAAAAGATTCAAGCAGCATTTTAACTGACTTTGAAAAAGGACAAAAAGATAAAAAGGGTCATATCATACCTTGCTGTTTATAAATTGGCGGGTCGTCTGTACATATTAAAGCCTTCGTCTGCTGATAGAAGAAAATGCAACGTTAGCAGATGATTCGTTGTTAAATATCACACAGTAGAACAAAAATAAATGAACATTGGAAGTAAGAACCTGCTGTAGTGCATTTTTCCTTTTTCAATGTCTAAATATGGTATGTATATGTATATTCTATGGTATGGTATGTATATGTAACTACTTGTAGTTTGGAGGACATTCTATGAAAAGGACTGGAACCAGAATTAGCATAATGTACATCTACAATCATTTTAATGACTTTTACAACATAAAAAGACGGCCAGAACTGCCAAAAGCTTAAGCAATAATGACATTTACATTTGCAAACAAAAACCTCTTTGTAGATGTTTCTTAAATGTAATTTCATGTTATTGTACAGATTCAGAAG